ATTCATTCATCTTCCCTTCGAAACAAATCAATTTTAGAGACGAAAAATGGCAGGAATTAAGTTTAACACCTAATAATTCAAATCGTTGATTATTTTTCCAGATATGGAACAAATTTCAGAAGCACTAACTAAACAAAAGCTGTCAGATAAATTGGAACTAGAGCAAATCGACAATTATGACGGATTATTACACAAATACACGATAAAACCACTAACGCCAAATATTTCTAGTAAAAGTTCTGTGATATCCGATAACGGCAATGAAAGGACGAAGAAGGAAGAACTTCTGATGAGATTAACTTATGCATTAAACAAATTAAATCAATATGAAGGAAATATCGAAAATAAAAAAAGCATAGAAACATCATATCTTGACGCAAAAAATACGTTAGCACAGAAAGGAGCCGTATTGCCACGGAATGTGGAAGAAAATGTCAAAGGCATTATACAATCTGCACAGGAATATATAGCGAAATTGGATTATCAATTGAAAGATCTCGACAATGCTGATCAGCAGGTAAATAGGTACTCTTAAAATTTATTGACTTTATTTTATTAAAATTGCTGCTTATTTTTACGCGCGGTGACTGCAATAACATAAAAAAATTGTTTTGTCAGATAGAAAATAGTATGATGAGAACATTAAAAGATATAGACGGGACGTTTCAATCTTTGTTAGATGATGTATATCACGAAATTAATAAGAGACGCGAGCTGTTGATACTGGAGACAGAAATTCACAAACATGAGAGTCTGATACCATTGAGGGCTTGTAGAAGGGAAGTAGAGGCACAGCTGCAAAATGCACAGAATATTATATCGATGAGTGAAGGTATTCTACAGCATCCGTATCGATACAGCGTAAACGGATTTGGAAAGATAATTTCTGCAAGTAATGATATAGGCAGGTGAGAACTTTGTGATTGTAATTTAAGAATTATGTTGAGTATTTCTCAGAAATACATGTTACTTTCATTTCTAAGGATCCCAGCAGTGCCATATTCCGAGGAACTTCCAAATATAAACTTTGATCGTCCATTGAACTCGTATAAGGAAGAGATTATAGAGCAGATATCGAAACTTGGCTGCATTTCTCGCACAATACCCGTTCAGATAATGAACATTGAAGAGAGACCGGCGGGTTTATTCGTTAAATGGCACGTAACTAATCCTGAGTATTTTGCCGAGGAGCAGATATTTATTGTAGAAAAAGCTAATGGGGAGATTCTCGATCCGGCATCGAACAAATTTGAGACGGTGTACAGAGGGTCCGAGACTTCTTGTTTTATTAGAAATATACCTGTTGATCATCTAATTACACTCAGAGTTAGAATACAGGCAGACAACGTCGCAAGGAGTATACATCATGTCACACGGACCTCTATACCGCCGTATAGTATGTATAGAGAAAGTGGGCAATCTTTCTGTATTAAAAATAAAGTTTTTCTACACATATATATATATAAAACTCTTGTATAGGTATCTTACTTGTATTTGATTTATTCTTGGAACCACAAAACTTCTAACTTTATTTTAATCTAATTTAAATATTAATTTAAATATTATAAATCTGATCTAACGTAGAGTTTTGAATTAGAAAAGAATATTTAAAAAATTTTGCATTTTATGTAAAATTTATTAATGTAAGTAATAAAAAAAGCTATTTTTAATGATTATACAGGCTGGGAACTTGATAACAAGAATTATATGATCACTAACGGTAAAATTGCTGAAAAAGTCACGAATACTATAAATACACTGTTCTCACAAGGTCCTCAATTCGATGAGAATCACGTAATTGAATTCAAGGTAACTATATACAATGTCATTTTATTTACATTTTTTCGTCGTACGTTACATTTTTTCTACGTTTTAATTTATCTATCATAGTTTTTAGAAGTTCCACAAGAAGGAGATGATGACGAGGGTATTGCATTAGTTTATGATCCACAAGGTAGTAATGATACCTTAAAAAGAGCAGCGTCGCTAATGATCACACCTCAAGGCAAAATCTTCATGGATGGTGACGAAAAACTGATGCGCCTACCAAGAATGTGTTTCGGTGCGGTTATTATGATCTCTGCCTTCCGGAAAAATGCTTATGTGTTGCGAGTGAATATCGAATCTGAAAATAAATGTGTTACATATGACTGGCGTGTACAAACGCCGCTGTATCTTGCCGCCCGGTTTGCAGAGTCCAAAAAATGGCATTTGAAGATTGAGTAAAGATGAGAGATATACGCACAAATTTATCTTTATTACAGTATATAAAGTGCACAATGTAATTTTGTGGCAATAAAAACAAAGTGCCTTACTTTAGAAAAGTATCGCATTCAACCAGAACATCCTCTGCAGCCACAATGTATGCATTCCACTATTCGACCTTCCTCAAGTTTACCTTTCGGCACTCTGCAGATACAGTTTGTACCGAAATTCGTGTCCCTCGTCTGAATGCAGCGCAGACAGCACAAATTTTCATAGCCAACCTTCTTCCACTTGGCGATCAAATTTTTGTCAGCAATATTTTCATTCAAACAATAATCGTACAATTCTGAAATAAGTAAAAGCGTAAAGAAACCAGATACATTTTTTAAATCCTTTTTCAGGATTAATCTTTTACATCCGTTTTTTTGAATGATATTTAACTTACCGCGACTAATCGCTTTTCTCCTATAAAACAAGTCATATATATATCGAGATTTCTGATGATGTATTTTGAATATCGGCCATAAGGATTCCTGTTTTCTCTTGCCTTCATGAGGCTCCGTCTCGGCTGTAAAAGAAGAAAAAAAAAACCGCGTCTTAAAGCATCCTTCCTGTTAAATTGAAACAACTAATCTAACCTCGCGCAAAGAAGAAAACAAAAGTGTTTACTCACCTTCGCGCATCTTTTGCTCCAATTCCTCCAGAGTTGGTTCGATTAGCTCCCAACCATCCGGAGGTGGTTTCTTGCTTCGTCGTACTTTTGGCATGATTTATTTTCAAATAAATATTATATATCAAGTTCTATCAACATACAGCAGTACACTTGATACACTATTCCATAAAGGTGTCTTTTCATGCTAACGCTCGACGCTCATTTTCGGCATCAAAATAAAGCCTTGTGTCCACGATGCTAGAAATCGGTCCGAGACCTCGGATGAAGAAAGAATTGACCAATCGCAATGGTCATGTGATCATATTGTTCAAATGTGATTTGCTAATTTTTTCTATGCTCTGAGATGTCGGATCAATTTCTAGCATCTTGGACATCGGGTTTTAGTCACGTGATAGAAATTGACGAATGTCAAGCGTCAATTTTGATCACGTGAACTATTATGACGCTGGAAATGTGCGTTGAGCGTCAGCATGAAAAGGCACCTTAATCGATGTGTCATAGACGGGATAATAGCTAGAGAACGTGCGAAATGTTAACGACCGCTTTTCTATCTCGCTCCCACTCGATTGTTTATCGCATATGCATTTTTATAAAATTTCTTTTATCACGTGCATGCCAGTGCGTACGTGCGTGATTAATGAGATATTTGAAAGAGTGGATTGGAGTGGATATTAGCGCAATTACCTTATAAATTTTATCAGTATTTATCTCCGTATATATGTAGTAGAACACATTTCGCATGAGATTACAGCCACATCAATTGTAACTGCATATGTAGACGATTTTGTATATAGAATGTCCTAAAATGTTATCGAACGATTTAAACTTTTTACAAGGAAATTATGAAAAAAGAAAATAATCGTTGACGGAGCGATTTTGGCGATTTGAGTCTGATGTAAACGAATAGCATATAATTCTACATTCCGATTCTAAATGAATAATATAACGAAAAATTAATCTAAGATAATAAATGATTAGTTTCATAATTGAGACTCGATGCGAATTTACAAATTTCGTAATATTTTTCCAAAATCCGCAAATATTTCATAATCTCAACAAGCGGCTCCATATTTACTTAACGCAAAATGCGTGACTAATAACGTATCTGATTATTACTGGTCACCTTATATAATAGCAAGTATTAAAAAAAGGACCGGCAATTGCAATCTCATCTAATATCTCTGACATCCAGGTAATGTGGCGAATGGTGACGAAGTGATTTCAAGAGCGTTACATACGCATTTATTTCTTGCCTTGTCGTTGACAATGTCACTTGGATTTAGCCATCACTGGGATTAATATTTCACCTTTTGTACAAAAATCGTCATAGAAGAATGGGTCAACGAGTCTCAAGAACGGATTTCGAATGGGTTTATACGGAGGAACCGCATGCCTCGCGGCGTAAAATAATTCTAGGTAGTATAAAACTCGCGAGAAGACCAAGATGTGTGATATTTTATGATTATTTTTATTTTATTCTAAATATTTGAATACTGCTCTCAGAATATTAGACACATAATTGTAAAATTGGAAAGACAAATACGCATAACCACGCCTATTTTAAGGACCATCTACTCAAATATCTTTATGATAAAATAATTATACTTTGGATACGGAAACAGCACCGCAAAACATTAATTGAACTTATAGATGTTTATGATATTTTTAATTCATTGTTATTTAAAACATAAAGTATCATTTTTGAGATATGTTTAAATATCAGTTTATTTAGCAGTAAATGACATTAGACTGGTATGTGAATAACACAACTAAGTAAATTTATTGTAACTATTTGATATTGTATAAATTTATATTGGAATGTATAATAGGAAAAATTCAACAAATTTGTTTAATTAAAATAATATTTTAGAAATGTATCTTATGTTGATTTTCATATAGTTTATCAAATTTTATAATTTCTACAGTAAAATTAAATATATACTTGTATTTAAATTATATTAAAATATATTACTTTAATCAATAATTAATTTTTTTAATTATAATTTTTGAAATCTTTTATTTTAGAGAAATATCCACAAATTAAGCAGTTGTTTGGATATGATCGAAATTTCAAATGGGTTGTTACTGGGATGGTATTAATACAGTTCCTATCATTCTTTATTGTTAAAGATTTGAGCTATCCCAAACTCTTGCTATTAGCATATTGCTTTGGAGGTGTAATAAACCACTCTCTTATGCTTGGTACGTATACATTTTATTCATTATATTTATATTTTATTCAATACAGTAAAGTTAGAATTTATCAAGCATCATGCTAATGTTTAATACATTAACATTTGTGGTATATGTATTATGCTAATTTGTGTTATGGTTTGTTTTGCAGCAATACATGAAATATCTCATAATCTTGCCTTTGGACATGCCAGGCCTATGGCTAATCGAGTATTTGGTTTTTTTGCAAATCTGCCAATAGGAATACCTGTATCTATCAGTTTTAAGAAATATCATCTTGAGCACCATCGTGTGAGTATTGTAAGAAATGGTAAACATTGATAATAAATGTTGCATTATCTAGTAATTTAATATACACTAAGTATAAGCGTATTCAGGACGTCTGTGAAGCTGGCCCCTCAATGTCAAAATTTAAAAAAAATAAGACGAATTCTGATTGCCCCCCCGAAGAGTTCTATAATACAATAAGGAAGAGTTCCATTTATCAAAGCAGTGGAAACACCATTTGAAGTAACGGGGGGGCCAACTTCACGATTCTGCAACTTTAAAGGGCTATAACTTCTAAACCATTTTCGCACGTTGATCTATAGAGAACAATCGATAGAACTCTTTGGGAGGGCTATCAGAACTCTCAAGAAATCGCCGGATTTCCGAAAAAAATTTTTAAAACCCGTGGACTTGGAAAAATTCAAAATCTGAAACTTTAAAGTACTAGAACTTTTTAGATATTGATTTTATCGCATCGTTTGTTAAGGATAATCGTTAGAACTCTTCGGGAGGCTATCAGAACTCCTGTCATAATGTTGAATTTCCAATAAAAAAAAATTTTTTTTTAAATTTTGGAAATCTATTATTTTCTTGAGAGTTCTGATAGTCCCCCCCCAAAGAGTTTTTTCAATTGTCCTTTATAGATCAACGTGCTAAAATGAACGGTTTAGAAGTTATAGCCCTTCAAAGTTGCAGAATCGTGAAGTTGGCCCCCCCGTTACTTCAAATGGTGATTTCACTGCTTTAATAAATGGAACTCTTCCTTATTGTGTTATAGAACTCTAGAACTCTTCGGGGGGCAATCAGAACTCGTCTTATTTTTTCAAAATTTTGACATTGAGGGGCCAGCTTCACAGACGTGTATTCAGGCCTATGACGGTCAAAGCTAGATCTTTTTTACCTAAATAATTCCTAGTGAATTATCTATATCCTATATATGTACATGCATATATATAATATTTTTGTAGTTATTCAAACTGCGCGCCGAAATTTTTCCGGACTTTTCTCTTTTGAATAACTACAAAAATATGATATATATGCATGTACATATATAGGATATAGATAATTCACTAGGAATTATTTAGGTAAAAAAGATCTAGCTTTAACCGTCATAGGCCTGAATACACTTATACTTAGTGTTTAATTCTTGTCGGTCCGAATAAAAAAATCTTATTGTTATTGGTAATTTAATATGTTTTGAATTATATTTAAGAGATATACTTTTTGCATTTTTAGTATCAGGGAGATGAAAAATTAGATACTGACTTACCAACATTATTAGAAGCGAAATTATTTTGTACAACTTTTGGGAAGTTTTGTTGGGTACTGTTACAACCTTTTTTTTATTCATTTCGACCTCTTGTAACTTATCCAAAAGCACCAACTTCATTAGAATATATAAATTTAGTTATACAATTGATATTTGATGGTTGCGTATGGTATTTTTTCGGTAAGTTTCAAAATTTGTAAAAAATCAGGATGCAATTTATATTAATAATATAAATTAGTAAAAATTATGAAATTCAGTTACTAATAAAAAATAAAATCTGGTTTTTAGGTGGTAAAGTACTATTTTATTTGCTTTTTGGCTCTGTTATGGCAATGGGATTACATCCTGTAGCAGGTCACTTTATATCCGAACATTACATGTACAAAAAAGGTTTTGAAACTTACAGCTATTATGGTCCTTTAAATTTCATTACTTTCAATGTTGGATACCACAATGAGCACCATGACTTTCCTGCAGTGCCTGGTTCGAGATTACCAGAAGTATGTCAAAATATTCATTATAGCTTAGATGTAATTGTTATACACAATATAACTTGTTTATTATTTCACACAACGTTTTTTACATAGGTAAAACGTATAGCCGCAGAATTTTACAATGATTTACCACAGCACAATTCATGGGTTTCTGTTTTGTATGATTTTGTGATGGATCCTGAAATTGGGCCATATGCAAGAACGAAGAGAAGGCATCGAGGATTAAATTGACAAATTTTCTAATTCTTCTTAGTTTTTCTAAAAATGTACTACATAAGATTTATACATCACTAATTCTGCATATTGTTATGCAGAATTGCATATTATAACACAATTTAAAAATTGTAGTATTGGGAAATGTGAGAGTTACATGAGAAACTTGTAAGCATGTTGCGTGCATTGTAATATAAAATTTCAGAAAAATTTAGAGATGATATATTAATCTATGGGCAAATAATTTTTCGATATTTTCACTAAATTGTTTTCACGAAGGTTTTTAGATCTAGTTTTCATGGAAGTCTATTTCTTGAAATTTAGTCACTACTTCTAGCAATCAATAACTTTTGATTAATTATTTATGTCATTTAATATGCATTATTTTTTCTGTTCAGTTAAATAGAAAAGATAGACATAATTCATCTCCAATTCTAATTAAAATTTTGATCAATTTAAATTGACTATCAATTTCGTCTTTTATTTAACTATAATGCTCTTTAAATTAACTAAATTGTAGCTAATATGATATTAATATTTTCAGTGAATTTGGAATTTTTAATCGGATTTTCGAGACTTATTAATATTGTTCCAGATCCTACCTATATATGATTTTAAAAGACTAAATTTTTCAATTAAATTCATGAAAATTGAATTTTAATCATTTGGAACAATTTAATCGGTATTATAATCAAAAGTGCTATATATTTTACAGAATAAAATGGATCTGTGATACAAAAATATATATTATATACTTTAATGTATAATATAACGATTTTAATAAATGGCATTGTTATCAAAAACTTACAATTAGATCAACTTACAAAGAAATCCGTGATGTACGTCATATAACACAAAATTGTATATATTACTTCAATGAGACTGTAATAATTCATAGACTATTTGTCAAATAATTGTATATTTTCCAATAAATTTAAAAACATTAAAATGGAATGTATATAAAATTTCTTAGAGTTGTTTTATTTTAATTTATTTTATATCAAAGGGGCTTATATTCAGAAAACAGAAGTCCAAATTCGAGCCAGATCCACAGATTACGAGTCAATCGCACTGAACGGTGAGCCACTCGGCGCCCCAAAAAATCTAGTTGTGGCTGTGAAGGAAATTGTTCTTCACGGGATGTGTGGTTACTTGTGTGTGTGATTACGGTTTCGCCAGACTGCCGTCTGATTCTGTGTCGCTGGTTGAGTATTCAGGCTAGAGTCCCTATAATGAGAGTCAAGACATAAAACTGGAAGGACGCCATTGCTGGGCGCCGGCCGGAAACAGCACAAATAACACGTGGCATAAATAGATGCGTCGCGCCTGTTTGTACTACTACTCCATGAAACAGTTGCTGACACCAATTCACAGATTCACTAACCATCGAAAGCGCCTAGAAATGGCAGTGACCAATCACGAGGGCGTCGCCCCTCATGTCTTGACTCTCATTGGCTGTTTTCCAGCTTAGGACACAGAGACGTTACACTGGCTGCTTTCCTTTTAGGAGACACAGTCGACACACTTGACACAAATCGACACACGTCGCTTTCCATTTACAATTTTGTTCAAA